CGTGATAGTCGAATCTGGATAGCCTGGATAGGTTAACTACCTTGCCACATTTAACGTGTGACCTAATTGGATTCTCATTGGGAATATATCAAGTCATCGATCTGCTGCTGGAAATCATCATGACTAATATGGCAGAGGACGCAGGACTAGGTACGTTCTATAAGGTCTCCCTTTCGTTTTGACCAAGTTGTGAAAACGAGGTCAAGTTGACACAAAAATACCTTAATTGATATGTGTGAAATCTATAATTAGTGTTTTTTGCGTAATGTACTGATTATTATTATTACTATCATCATTACTATTAGTTTTAGTGTTTTCATTATTAGTGTGGTATATTTTACATCCACTGGTTATCAAAATCCTTCTTGTTGCCGTTGTTTCATATTTTTAATTAAGGATGTTTTCAAATTAGCTAGATTATAATGTATTTTTTGTTTTCAGACTTCGTGATTCTCGCCATGTGTTTACTCTAAACAGACGTTCTGTGCACCAGCTAGCTGGACACCTCGAAGCAGCTTTGGCTCGCCGGCACTTTCTGACTACGCTGCCGGGCGAAAAAGATTCCCGCCATCTGTCTGTAGTTTCTTCGACTAACCGCTCCGTGAATGAGGGTATAACAGACTCACTTCTTAATATGCGACATAATAAAGACCCACAGAATTTAAGTGAGATACCATCATGATTTATTTGGATTATTAGTTTTTCATATAACTTTCACAAGTATGCTAATGATATGCTGTATATTATTTGTTTGACTTCGTTTTTACAACTTGGTTTGAGCGATAGAGAGATATTGTTGAACGTACATAGTCCTGCGTCCTCTTACTTGGTATTCGTGATGATTTTCAGTATCGGAACATTGATTTGGCACATTCCCAAGTCAACGGTCCGATGCTAGAAATCATCATGAATACTATGACCGAGTATGCAGGACTAGATACGTTTCACAAGGTTTCCCTGTCTCTGAGCAAGATGTGAAATTGAGACCAAACCACTATATGGGCTTGAAAATAACATTGCATTTTAACTTAAGTGAACTTCGTTTCCAATGGCGCCATCAACATCTCATTAGCATTCAAACGTATTACCACCTAACTCGGTTTTCTGCATTTATTGTTTTATGAGTAAATCGATTTGTATTTCTTTTGCAATCCAGATCCTGATTTTCTATTAATTGCGCTGACATTGTTTGCATGAGTTTGTATACGAACAGCTGTGTACAATTGGGCTGATTTGAACTAATAACTCAATATATATGGAAGCTAAGTTACAATCGAACAAAAGTTTGGCCTTTAAATACTTTTGCACATTATTAGTTCTATGCTCAACCCGTTAAAACAATTTCTAACATATGTGCATTCACCATCTGCACAGTATAGATAGTGTGGAAAACAAATCAAATCTGCTATCTGATTTCATACTTTTTTCATTGGCCAGCCTCATACACACACTTTCCCACAGAGACTAGTAGACTCGGTAGATATAAAGATCAAGCTAATGCCTTGGGTTTGATCTCATTCTTTTTTGATCTTATTAAGTTAGCAACTCGTCCATGACAACATTGATACGTTGTGGAAAATACCCAATCCGTGTCCTCTACTTTAGTAATCGTGATAATTTACATAACTGGATGCCGGCGAAATGTCTTGGAATTTACCAAGTCAACGGTCCTATCCTAAAAATGATCATGACTACTATCGTATAGGACTCTCTGTTGCATCAACTAATTTGTTGAAATGAGGTCAAATACATTTATCAAACCAATTAAATAACCCCAGAGTTAAACAGTTCTTACTGGAGGCTTTTTTCAAATAATTCTTATCTATATGTTTTTATGTTGTCTAGCAGGTGGTGATTCAGAAGTCAGTATCGCTTCTCTCCTGAATGAATTTTAGTTTCCCGTACAAATGGCAATCTCAATGATGAACCACTAAAATAGCTGGGCAGCTAGCAAATGGCCCTACTTGACTCTTTATGAAATTCTTCAACCAATTTCTTAGTTGCACATTTAATAATTAATTCTCAGGTAGCTTAACTTAGCTTTTAATGATAGAGTTTAGCTTATATTTTCACTTAAACAAGACAGAGTTTCACGAAGTATTTCTTCCTCTCAAAACAATTTGTTTTTTTACAGGAGATTGAAGCTTATATTCATCTATCTCTTCGCTATGCGTAGTTTCTGTTGTTTTACAATCCTTACACAAGTAGAAACGCACTCGACGTCTCCATTCATTATCTTTATATTCATCTTTTCCCTGTTTCAATTTCATCCACTTATACTCGTCCACTCGATATCCCTTTGTCAGCTCAAGAAATGAAGTGCGAGAACATTCCCGTGGAATCGGCTCCTAGTCCATCAGCATATCTGAATCAGGCTCGCTTCCTGATTAGTCAGTTCCGCTCACAGCGTAGTCTTCCTCCTGTAAAGCTATCCATCTCCACTGACAACAATTCCCATGGCAATACTCCTGATGCTTTATCTGCCCACTCTGGCTGCATTGACGGTGGCACCGCATGCAGTAGTCCTCTGGGTCAATCATCCGACAGGAGTGTCCATATCGCTCCATCTTCACGTCTAAGTTTACCACTGACAGGTGCCTACATTTTCGACTTACTTGTCACCAAACGATTAACACCTACTCGGTTGGTAGAGATCGGTGATTGTTTGACTGACTTTCAAGCTCTGCTTCTCTGTCCCAGTTTGGTTTCGCAGTCTCTACCTCGTTCTAGGTTGCATCGAACAGAGGAAACCAATGTGAGCATGTTAATCGCCTTACTTTTTGAATATACCATAGGAATAGTTATTGTATTTCATTCATCGGTAAAATGTTGCATGTATACATGGATTTATACCTCGGATAAAGGAAACATTTGGTACTATACAAGTAGTTTCGTCACAATGAAACTTCATTATACCGAATTAAAAACAATTTTATTGCTATGACCTATAAAATGTTTTATTATTCTTGAAATTTCGTTATTACGGATTCTATATACCGGGATTTGATTGTCTTTACTTAATCTGAGCATCAATCTTACTGCCACTTTATTGATTTAAGATTTTTTAAATGATATGACGATTTATAGCTATCAATTATATATTTATAAAATCTTAAGATAAATTTTTTTTAATTATTTGAGAATGGAGTTTTATAGAGTAATTCCAAACATACTAACTATATGATATGAAGAACATGATGCTGTGCTCTACTGTTTATTCTCAGTTTCCTTTAACTGTATAGTGTTGTTTTGATATCGTTTTAGCAACCTGAAATGAGTGACAGAGATCTTGTGGGACGTACCTAGGCGTGAGTGCCTTGCAATAGTATTTGTGATTTCCACTATATGAACATTGATTTGGTACATTCCAAGATGTGTCACCGGCATCGCCAGTGATAAGTGCCATCAACACAGTCACAGCTTATCAAATTGACAAGTGGAGGCAAACCCTTTGATCAATTTTTTTTACAACCGTTGTCATATCAGTCCTCGCACTTAGTCTTTGTCCTACTTAGTGTTCCATCTT